AACTACCTTAACAAAAGGCGCCGGCAATCAAACTATCGTTATCATATACTTCGCTCGCTACTCCTATCTGTTGAACTTTTCCCTCCAGCGGTAAATCCTGCGAGCTTGCTGGTAAACCGCCAAATCTACAAGACAGTGAAGAACTGAAATGGGGACCCCGACAAACCTCAGAGAGGAATAGGGTGTCATTCCATGAGATACCCATGGGTAAGGCAAGATGGCCAGTGTGAGATGGAGAGTGCAGTCTCCAGAGTACGGCAATGGGTAAGAAAGGGCCACAAAATTAAAAGCAGTTTAACAAGCAATTTGTAATCGTGCATGCCCCAACCACCATTGTTGGCAACGGCCTCGAAGACGGGCCGAGATGACTGGAAAGTAGCCCTCTCAACGGAATACCTCCATGGGAAACCAGAAGATCATGCACAAGCAGCAGCATCTACTTGTTCATTGCCCTGCACATCAATGTGTCCGGGGACCCAGCAGAAAATGAAGTCTTAATTTTTGCTACTATGTGGCGTAACCAAAGCTGAATACGAAAGCTAATGCATGAGGGGAATCAAATTGTTTAATGGCTTGTAAAGCACTGAGGGTTTCTGAAATGATCACAAACGTCGAAGGAGACATATGTAATACAGAGAGTGCATGAGGATGGCATACAATTTGGGTAGTAAAAATACTAGCCGATCTAACAAATGATTTTTGGACATCGTCACCAGGGAACAACTGCCGTAAACCCCAAAAACACTATCAAAGATTTAGAACCACCTGTACAAACAGCAACGGCATGAGCATGTGACTGGAAGTGATCGAGAAAAAGAGAGCGAGCACAGTCGTAGGTAGGAGAGCTTTGGAAACACGGCAGTAGGGGAGAATGGACACAAACCGTCGGAACCACCCAAGGGTAAGGGAAAAGGCAAATGCTAAATGAACATACAAGGGAGGCAAGGGGAGAGAAGTCCGGTGAGTGAAGACAAGAGAAAAAGATCGAGTAAAGCAGGGCCATCAAAAAAATGATGGGCTTCTACAAAAATCTGAGACCAACACAAATAACCCGTATTTTGCTTTTTTTGTCTGAACCAACCCGAACACAAAGGTGATGAGAGCGGTCAGAGTAACAAAGGCATTGAGGATCCTGACGAACAGCTAAGGAAGGAACATTCACCTCAGCATAGGAGGCTTTCAACAGGGAATGAACAAAAGGCACCAAGGCATAAACATACACCATGATGATGAAGGGGATCTAACTTAGAAAGAGTGGTAGGAGAAGCGCGAATAGACTTGGTCACCATAACCCAGCTTGGACAAGACTAGGGTCAAATGCAAACAGAGGAGAGTCCAACACTCTGCTCCCCATAAACAACACTCAAGAATTTTAGGGAGATTCAGCCAACCATGATAAGCTGCCTTCAAAAGAAATGTGAGGTTTCCTGTCAACCAGATTGAAGAGAAGCCAAAGAAACTTGACCATATCACATTCTGGAAAAACGTGGGGCTTGTAAATATAATGGAGTATCTGGGACAACAGACGTCTATGAAGGTAATGAAATGTTTCGTACTAAAAATTTTAAATCCATGAGAATTTTCCCAAGGGGAAACTCAGTCAATTGCATCTTGAAGGGAGGCCACTACCAGGCAACAGTCAGCCCCCTGCACGAGCTGTAGTGAAGTCATCCACATAAAGTGACGACTAGATATGCGATGGAGAACGAAGGTACTTAAAAACCAAGAGAAAAAAGGTAGTGCTAAGGACACAACCTTGTGGACACCCTTCGGCCTGAACAAAGTCTGGGGAAAAGTGAGGTGCAACACTACACGAAAATGTCTGTCAGATAAGAAAGCAATAAGGAAAGTTGGTAGATTACGGGCAGAGGCCTAAGAGTGGGCTTGGGCTAAAATGTTATACTACCTCCAAGTGGTATCATATGCCTTCTCAAGATCAAAAAAGACTGCTAGACAGTGTTTGGTAGCAAAGGCATTTGCACATATGTATCTAAGTGGCAAGGGTCCCCAAAATAGAGCGGGCCCTTGCGAAAGCCATAGTGGCAAGGGAAAGACTATTTTCAGTCTCCTAAAACCATATAGACGTCTATTCACGAATCGTTTCCTCACCTTGCA